ATAGAGAGATATAGAGAGAGAGAGAGAGCGAGAGATAGATCAGATAGATAGAGATAGATATCATATAATAGTGGAAGAGCGAGAGAGAGAGAGAGAGAGAAGCAGCATACTGTACGTTGCATACTGTAGCTCAAGCATTTATGCAACTTAGGCCTATAAATTGTTTATGTAACTTATGTGCCGGTGTGTCCATGGTTTTTAGTCTCTGTGTGTGTGTGTGTGTGTGTGTGTGTGTGTGTGTGTGTGTGTGTGTGTGTGTGCACTGCTCACGTGCGCACTTGTGGCATTGTTTGGGATGACCTAATTAAAATAGCGTCCACCTGGTGAAACAGTCCCCACTCCACCACTACTGGAGTCTCATATCTCAAACTGTAACATAAACATAAACACATAGTAATAATAATGAAAGACATGCTTATGTTAGGAGTTACAGAAATACAGATAATAAAGGATTTGTGGAACAAACAAGCAGAAAGCAAATCTGGTGAGGAACGAGTATTCAGATACAAGTACTTAAACACCACTTTGTCTAAGTACTTTTACTTTAAATACTTTAAAATGATTAATCCCAGGTTTATCAGCGGGGCAGAAACCTGGACCTGATCCTAAACTCAGAGACGAGGAAAGCTTTAAAAACAGAGTTATGGAGCCGAACAGGGAAAGATATCCTGATTAATAATGAGAGGAGTGAGAGACGGCAGATGAGGCGCTGGGTGGATTTCACATTCCTACATTTAAAAAAGAGAAACGTTTGGCTCGGTGTTTCCTGGAGACAGGATGTCAATCTGTTTCCTGGAAGCAGAGCAAGAGAAACAGGAAGTAGGAAGATCTAATCCAGATAATCTGCAGCAGAATACTTCATGAGGAGGAGAGGCGTTAGTCCTGCTGAGTCTCTTTGGTGAAGTATATTTAAATTGATGCAACGTGACACAGAAAACGTTTTCTTTCAAAAAACAGTACATTTTTCCTCAGGATCAAATATTTAACCTTTTTCGCAGAATGCAGCAAAGTCAGATTTTCTTTATTTTTGTAATTGAGCCACCAGTTCATCAGTTATTACGTGTGTTTCTGTTGGGAAAACACTGAATGTCCTCTTCCAATATCAGAGTAACATGATAACAAAGGTATCCCAACTATAGCTGTGTGCATGACAGGATGTCTGATTACCTAGAAGAGCATCTCTCACGGCATTTCGTGTTATTAGTCACGAAATTAATTTAATCTATTGATTCGTGTTCACCAACACGATTTTCGCATTTTTTTTCGTGTCACACAGAACGATTTTAAAAGCAATGTATTTCTATTGGTAGTATGTTTCGTGCCTGCAACACGTCTTTTTGTCCGGTCGGGTCTTGGAAGACCAGAAGCTGTGTGGTTCATAAAAACATGTTCTTACTCAATATCTTACCCTAAGCCTAACCCTATCCCTTTTATTTTAAATTGTATAATGTCTGAGTTTTGTTGCCGTCAGTAAGGAAAAGAAATGGCTCAGAGCCTCAGAATACTGACATCTGTATTTGATGTCATCTCTTTTTCCTTCTAATTTGTTATTATTTGGTGCAGGCACGAAACATACTACCAATATAAATACATTGCTTCTAAAATCGTTCTGTGTCAGAATACTGAAATCTGTATTTTTTTTAAATGTCTTTTCCTTCTAATTTGTTATTATTTACATTGCTTTTAAAATCGTTCTGTGTGACACGAAAAAAATGGCGAAATCGTGTTGGTGAACACGAATCAATAGATTCATTTCGTGACTATAACACGAAATGCCGTGAGACTGTGTTGGATAGCTATGTGATTAACATGATGATTCAGCCTCTATGGAGATAGACATATGACAAGCATGCTCATTTCTGACGTGGAGCTAATCTGAAGTAAACATTGAATACTGCTTTCTATTCCTCCATCTTGTGACTGTGTAACTCCCTCTCTTGGATATCAGCATGTGAAGGACACTGTTCAGGAACTAGTTGATGCTCTGTATGTGATGACTACTTCCATTCTGGAGAGGATCACAGATACATGGATCCTGAGGTTGAAGCTCAAGCCGCGAACGAGCGAACAGTTTCCATTGAAACAACTTCTATTATAAAATGCTTCTATTATCTCAGCTCGTCATCAGAGCCCTTTCTTCAGAATTTAACTTTTTTCAGTTTTCCACCAGATTGAGACATTTTCTGATGTTTGGGACCAAATCGTGCTGTTTTTCAGTTTCCTGATGCAGCTACATCGATGTTGGCGATGAAGTGTCTTTATAGCAGTTTTAAGAAGGAGGCATCTTCATCCTAGCAACTTTTTAAATGAATGCTCAAGGGTAAAGTGACACTTTGACATACATTTAAAAGATATGACGAAAACATGATATGCCATTATCATGTCAACATAACAAATCTTAGCGTACAACAACATGCTACGGCGTGACTTGATCTGATGTGATATGGTTTTGACTTTGCAGTACATTTAGCTGACATTTTGTGCAAAGACATTTAAGTACAATCAAACATGAAGTGTGCGTTCACACCAACGTGAAGCGAATGAAATGTAAAGTCAATGCAAACACATGGATAGACGCTTTATTCCACTCTGGCGCAAGAGTTCAATTTATTCAACTCAAGGGAGAAATACGGAGCCAATCAGTGACGAGAATCTCAGCCTCTCGTCACTGACGGTTTTGAATCAGAAAACCAAACAGCAGCGTTTATAAATGTACAAACCACAAACTTTCTATGACACATGCATTCCTTACTTTATTTCTGTCTATATGACGTTATTGTGAGTGTGGATGGAGTAGCTACGTGTTAGCTTAGCTTGTCCTGATCGATCCGATCTCCATTCAGAAAACATAAAAAAAGTAGTTTGCTCCCATCTTGGAAGCACGTTTGCCAAAAGCATGAATTCATGGTTTTTACAAACAGCTATCAGTGTGTAGATATTTTGGCACCATTTTGATACTTGTACATACATGTAAATAGATGTATGACACGTGTACAAGTACTCAAGTACATGTTTATTTTGTTGTTGATAGTATCTACCAGAGATAACTCTTTAAAGTAAATCTTGTGCGAGTAACGTGGGGCGAATTTTCACTTTGCGTCCTCTGTGACAAGTTAGAGTGATATTGTGCTATATATAAATCGAATTTGATTGGTCCTGTTCTAGTCAATCTGTGAGATTATAAGAGGGGCAGAGTTTTTACCACCATGATTAGGACTGGGACTGAAGAAAGGGAAGAGTTTCTCAGTGAAGGAGCAGCCAGTGAATGAGTAGATGAGATCTGCAGTGTCAACGTCATAAAAGGAGACCAGACCCTCGTCGTAATCCACGAACACGCCCACCTCCTGAGGCCGAGACCTCAGAGAGAGACCGACTGCAGGGTCAGCTCGAGCAGAATAATCGTTATTATTCCTCAGAGATATCATCCAGCAGCCCTTCTGAGGTCTCAGGCTGATGACGCCCTTCCTGCTGATCGACTCGCCGGCCACGCCTAAATCCCACTTCGTCTTCCCACTCACCGTCACCTTGAAGTAAAACCTCCCTGCGGAGAAACTCTGCTTTGCAAAGACACACGGACAGGAATCAAATCTCTCTGGGTTGTCTGGGAGATTCTTCTCCACATCACCGTGAGTTACTTGTTTCCCATCATCAGACAGGATGAGTTTAGGATGTGCTGTTTGAGGGTCGAGGGTCACATCCACCTCATACTGCTGGCACCTGGAAGAAATAATCAATATATTGTGTCGAACTTTAAAGGACATCATTTACTGAAGCAGTGTTTCCCCCCCGGACCGGATGTGGGCGACACCTTGGAGTTCAGGTTGTTATTGTTTTTAGCCTCACAGTAGCATGTAGCTATTAGTATATCGTGTATGTAAATATAAGGAGAATGACGCGTGGAGTTACATACTAAACACACCGCCTCCAACTCTCCCTCACCAACGCTGCGTCGCTACTATTATTATGTGTTTAATGACCAACAAGCAGCAGAATAATTGTATATTAAAATACCATAAGAGATGCGCTACGGATACGTCATCAGAGGACTACAGAAGAAGACCCGCCCCCGTCGACGTCAGCCAATGGAAGGAGACTAAATACGAGTGTGAAAATATAAATACGATGTTATAGAGATAAACGTTCTCTTTCATTCATGCAGCTGTAGATAGCTAACTCCTTTATGTGGACTGTGGACCAGATCATTGGATAGAAGAACCACAGCTGTGTTCCCTTGAAAACCTACTATATTATTGCATTCATAAATACTGTTAAACTTTTCGAGAAGCTTCCTGGTCTTCTTTAGACTAACTCTTGGTCTTCAAACAAAAGAACAGAACATACCTCTTCAGAAAGGCCAGAGCGAACATCTTCTTCACCTCTTTACTGAGTTTATTCAAACCAGTCCTGACAGTGACGTCATGTAAAGGCAGGGAGATATGCACATCTGTAAATAATTTGGTGTGTGGAATAGCATTGATTGACGAGAAGCTTCTGAGGAGATGGGGGTGGTCTTCAGAGCGTGAGAGCTGCTCCACCTCAGAGCTTCTCTTGGTCAGTTGAGAGATGTCCTGTTCCAGACCTTTGATGAAGCCTTCAGCCTGTTCCTCTGTCTCTCTCTGCTTCTCTGTGATCGTGTCCATGATCTCAGCCTGCCGACTCTCAACAGACTCCTTCAGAGAGCTGAAGAGCTCAACACAGCCCTTTAACTCTCTCTCTGCCTCCTCCTTACTGAGCTCCAGTGAGTGTTTGAAATCCTGAATCGTCAGTCGTCTCTTCTGGATCATCTGTCCAATTATTACCTCCGTGTTCCTCAACTTTTCTTTATATTCTTCTTTCAGACTTTCATTGTCATGTGTCATGTGGTTTAAAACCAACCAGATGGAGACACACATCACACACACCAGGCAGGACATCAGGACGCCACGAGTAACTTCTCCTGAACACATTCCTAGATACCGTGCAGCCAACACTCTGAGGATGAAAAGTCAGAGTCTAGTTATTGTGTCCTTTGAAGAGGTTGTTATGCTAGTTTTCAGGTTAATGTATACCCATTTAAATGCAGAAAAACCTTTAGAAGCATAATAGGGCCTCTTTCATTTGTCGAGTATCAGTATGATTGTTCTAACTCCAAACAGACCATTGATCAGGAGCCTTTTGTGTCACTTTTTAACAAACTGGGTACACCTTTAGCTTCATTTTTTTTTCATTTTTTTGCAGGTCATTTCAATTCTACAAGTATTTTTGTAGGCCCTGAAGGCAAACAAATGATGATTTATGATATTTACACGTTTAGTTCAGCAGGTAAATCTCCATATTAACACCACTTTAGGATTTCTGAAGTAAAAAGCTAATGTTGGGCTATAAAGGAACTACAGCACGGTCACATGACTTCACGTCACCACCGCTAAGCTAAAGGTGGCTAATGTTGGGCTATAAAGGAACTACAGCACGGTCACATGACTTCACGTCACCACCGCTAAGCTAAAGGTGGCTAATGTTGGGCTATAAAGGAACTAGACATGTTGATGTAGAAGAGACATGAAGAAGAGGGGACACATGTTGATGAAGAAGAGGGGACACATGTTGATGTAGAAGAGACATGAAGAAGAGGGGACACATGTTGATGAAGAAGAGGGGACACATGTTGATGTAGAAGAGACATGAAGAAGAGGGGACACATGTTGATGTGGAAGAGACATGAAGAAGAGGGGACACATGTTGATGTAGAAGAGACATGAAGAAGAGGGGACACGTGTTGATGTAGAAGAGACATGAAGAAGAGGGGACACATGTTGATGAAGAAGAGACATGAAGAAGAGGGGACACATGTTGATGTAGAAGAGACATGAAGAAGAGGGGACACATGTTGATGTAGAAGAGACATGAAGAAGAGGGGGACACATGTTGATGAAGAAGAGACATGAAGAAGAGGGACACATGTTGATGTAGAAGAGACATGAGAGGGGACACATGTTGATGTAGAAGAGACATGAAGAAGAGGGACACATGTTGATGTAGAAGAGACATGAAGAGGGGACACATGTTGATGTAGAAGAGACATGAAGAAGGGGTGACACATGTTGATGTAGAAGAGACATGAAGAAGAGGGGACACATGTTGATGTTAGAAGAGACATGAAGAGGGGACACATGTTTGATGTGGAGAAGAGACCTGAAGAGGGGACACATGTTGATGAAGAAGAGACATGAAGAAGAGGGGACACATGTTGATGTAGAAGAGACATGAAGAGGGGACACATGTTGATGAAGAAGAGACATGAAGAAGAGGGGACACATATGTGATGTAGAAGAGACATGAAGAAGAGGGGACACATGTTTGATGTAGAAGAGACATGAAGAAGAGGGGACACATGTTGATGTGGAAGAGACATGAAGAAGAGGGGGACACATGTTGATGTAGAAGAGACATGAAGAAGAGGGACACATGTTGATGTAGAAGAGACATGAAGAAGAGGGGGACACATGTTGATGTAGAAGAGACATGAAGAAGAGGGGACACATGTTGATGTGGAAGAGACATGAAGAAGAGGGGACACATGTTGATGTAGAAGAGACATGAAGAAGAGGGGACACATGTTGATGTAGAAGAGACATGAAGAAGAGGGGACACATGTTGATGTAGAAGAGACATGAAGAAGAGGGGACACATGTTGATGAAGAAGAGACATGAAGAAGAGGGGACACATGTTGATGTAGAAGAGACATGAAGAAGAGGGGACACATGTTGATGTAGAAGAGACATGAAGAGGGGACACATGTTGATGTAGAAGAGACATGAAGAAGAGGGGACACATGTTGATGTAGAAGAGACATGAAGAGGGGACACATGTTGATGAAGAAGAGACATGAAGAAGAGGGGACACATGTTGATGTAGAAGAGACATGAAGAGGGGACACATGTTGATGAAGAAGAGACATGAAGAAGAGGGGACACATGTTGATGTAGAAGAGACATGAAGAAGAGGGGACACATGTTGATGTAGAAGAGACATGAAGAAGAGGGGACACATGTTGATGTGGAAGAGACATGAAGAAGAGGGGACACATGTTGATGTAGAAGAGACATGAAGAAGAGGGGACACATGTTGATGAGAAGAGGGGACACATGTTGATGTAGAAGAGACATGAAGAAGAGGGGACACATGTTGATGAAGAAGAGGGGACACATGTTGATGTAGAAGAGACATGAAGAAGAGGGGACACATGTTGATGTGGAAGAGACATGAAGAAGAGGGGACACATGTTGATGTAGAAGAGACATGAAGAAGAGGGGACACATGTTGATGAAGAAGAGACATGAAGAAGAGGGGACACATGTTGATGTAGAAGAGACATGAAGAAGAGGGGACACATGTTGATGTAGAAGAGACATGAAGAAGAGGGGACACATGTTGATGAAGAAGAGACATGAAGAAGAGGGGACACATGTTGATGTAGAAGAGACATGAAGAGGGGACACATGTTGATGTAGAAGAGACATGAAGAAGAGGGGACACATGTTGATGTAGAAGAGACATGAAGAGGGGACACATGTTGATGTAGAAGAGACATGAGAAGAGGGGACACATGTTGATGTAGAAGAGACATGAAGAGGGGACACATGTTGATGAAGAAGAGACATGAAGAAGAGGGGGACACATGTTGATGTAGAAGAGACATGAAGAGGGGACACATGTTGATGAAGAAGAGACATGAAGAAGAGGGGACACATGTTTGATGTAGAAGAGACATGAAGAAGAGGGGACACATGTTTGATGTAGAAGAGACATGAAGAAGAGGGGACACATGTTGATGTGGAAGAGACATGAAGAAGAGGGGACACATGTTGATGTAGAAGAGACATGAAGAAGAGGGGACACATGTTGATGTAGAAGAGACATGAAGAGGGGACACATGTTGATGTAGAAGAGACATGAAGAAGAGGGGACACATGTTGATGTGGAAGAGACATGAAGAAGAGGGGACACATGTTGATGTAGAAGAGACATGAAGAAGAGGGGACACATGTTGATGTAGAAGAGACATGAAGAAGAGGGGACACATGTTGATGTAGAAAGAGACATGAAGAGAGGGACAAATGTTGATGAGAAGAGACATGAAGAAGAGGGGACACATGTTGATGTAGAGAAGAGACATGAAGAAGAGAGGGACGGGGACACATGTTGATGTAGAAGAGACATTAAGAAGAGGGGACACATGTTGATGTAGAAGAGACATGAGAAGAGGGGACACATGTTGATGTAGAAGAGACATGGAAGAAGAGGGGGACACATGTTGATGAAGAAGAGACATGAAGAAGAGGGGGACACTGTTGATGTAGAAGAGACATGAAGAAGAGGGGACACATGTTGATGAAGAAGAGACATGAAGAAGAGGGGACACATGTTGATGTAGAAGAGACATGAAGAAGAGGGGACACATGTTGATGAAGAAGAGACATGAAGAAGAGGGGACACATGTTGATGTAGAAGAGACATGAAGAAGAGGGGGACAGATGTTGATGAGAAGAGACATGAAGAGAGGGGACACATGTTGATGAAGAAGAGACATGAAGAAGAGGGGACACAATGTTGATGTAGAAGAGACATGAAGAAGAGGGTACACATGTTGATGTAGAAGAGACATGAAGAAGAGGGGACACATGTTGATGTAGAAGGAACATGAAGAAGAGGGGACACATGTTGATGTAGAAGAGACATGAAGAAGAGGGGACACATGTTGATGAAGAAAAGAGAACATGAAGAAGAAGGGGACACATGTTGATGTGGATGAGACATGAAGAAGAGGGGACACATGTTGATGTAGAAGAGACATGAAGAAGAAGGGGACACATGTTGATGAAGAAGAGACATGAAGAAGAGGGACACCATGTGTGATGAAGAAGAAGCATTGAAGAAGAGGGGACACATGTGATTGTGGAAGAGACATGAATGAAGAGGGTACACATGTTGATGTAGAAGAAGACATGAAAGAAGAGGGGACACATGTTGATGTAGAAGAGACATGAAGAAGAGGGGACACATGTTGATGTAGAAGAGACATGAAGAAGAGGGGACACATGTTGAATGAAGAAGAGACATGAAGAAGAGGGGACACATGTTGATGTGGAAGAGACATGAAGAAGAGGGGACACATGTTGATGTAGAAGAGACATGAAGAAGAGGGGACACATGTTGATGAAGAAGAGACCGGAAGAAGAGGGGACACATGTTGATGAAGAAAGAGACATGGAAGAAAGAGGGGGACACATGTTGATGTGGAAGAGACATGAAGAAGAGGGGACACATGTTGATGAAGAAGAGACATGAAGAAGAGGGGACACATGTTGATGAAGAAGAGACATGAAGAAGAGGGGGACACATGTTGATGTGGAAGAGACATGAAGAAGAGGGGACACATGTTGATGTAGAAGAGACTAAGAAGAGGGGACACATGTTGATGTAAGAAGAGACATGAAGAAGAGGGGAACATGCTGATGAAGAAGAGACATGAAGAAGAGGGGACACATGTTGATGTAGAAGAGACATGAAGAAGAGGGGACACATGTTGATGTAGAAGAGACATGAAGAAGAGGGTACACATGTTGATGAAGAAGAGACATGAAGAAGAGGGGACACATGTTGATGAAGAAGAGACATGAAGAAGAGGGGACACATGTTGATGAAGAAGAGACATGAGGAAGAGGGGACACATGTTGATGTAGAAGAGACATGAAGAAGAGGGGACACATGTTGATGAAGAAGAGACATGAAGAAGAGGGGACACATGTTGATGAAGAAGAGACATGAAGAAGAGGGACACATGTTGATGTAGAAGAGACATGAAGAAGAGGGGACACATGTTGATGTAGAAGAGACATGAAGAGGGGACACATGCTGATGAAGAAGAGACATGAAGAAGAGGGGACACATGTTGATGAAGAAGAGACATGAAGAAGAGGGGACACATGTTGATGTAGAAGAGACATGAAGAAGAGGGTACACATGTTGATGTAGAAGAGACATGAAGAAGAGGGGACACATGTTGATGTAGAAGAGACATGAAGAAGAGGGGACACATGTTGATGTAGAAGAGACATGAAGAGAGGGGACACATGTTGATGTAGGAGAGACATGAAGAAGAGGGGACACATGTTGATGTAGGAGAGACATGAAGAAGAGGGGACACATGTTGATGAAAAAGAGACATGAAGAAGAGGGGACACATGTTGATGTAGAAGAGACATGAAGAAGAGGGGACACATGTTGATGTAGAAGAGACATGAAGAAGAGGGGACACATGTTGATGTAGAAGAGACATGAAGAAGAGGGGACACATGGTGATGTAGAAGAGACATGAAGAAGAGGGTACACATGTTGATGTCGAAGAGACATGAAGAAGAGGGGACACATGTTGATGTAGAAGAGACATGAAGAAGAGGGGACACATGTTGATGTAGGAGAGACATGAAGAAGAGGGGACACATGTTGATGAAGAAGAGACATGAAGAAGAGGGGACACATGATGATGAAGAAGAGACATGAAGAAGAGGGGACACATGTTGATGTAGAAGAGACATGAAGAAGAGGGGACACATGTTGATGAAGAAGAGACATGAAGAAGAGGGGACACATGTTGATGTAGAAGAGACATGAAGAAGAGGGGACACATGTTGATGTAGAAGAGACATGAAGAAGAGGGGACACATGTTGATGTAGAAGAGACATGAAGAAGAGGGGACACATGTTGATGAAGAAGAGACATGAAGAAGAGGGGACACATGTTGATGAAGAAGAGACATGAAGAAGAGGGGACACATGTTGATGTAGAAGAGACATGAAGAAGAGGGGACACATGTTGATGAAGAAGAGACATGAAGAAGAGGGGACACATGTTGATGAAGAAGAGACATGAAGAAGAGGGGACACATGTTGATGTAGAAGAGACATGAAGAAGAGGGTACACATGTTGATGAAGAAGAGACATGAAGAAGAGGGGACACATGTTGATGTAGAAGAGACATGAAGAAGAGGGGACACATGGTGATGTAGAAGAGACATGAAGAAGAGGGGACACATGTTGATGTAGAAGAGACATGAAGAAGAGGGTACACATGGTGATGTAGAAGAGACATGAAGAAGAGGGGACACATGTTGATGTAGAAGAGACATGAAGAAGAGGGGACACATGTTGATGTAGAAGAGACATGAAGAAGAGGGTACACATGTTGATGAAGAAGAGACATGAAGAAGAGGGGACACATGTTGATGTAGAAGAGACATGAAGAAGAGGGGACACATGTTGATGTAGAAGAGACATGAAGAAGAGGGGACACATGTTGATGTAGAAGAGACATGAAGAAGAGGGGACACATGTTGATGTACATGTGAAGTGGATTTTGAATAATAGGGGACCTTTAAGTCTCAGATGATATTGGATGTTTTAAGGCAGCAGGATAGCAGATGACCTTGTTGTTGTTGTTGTTGTTCTGAGTCTCGGCCGAACTTAAACACAGCCTTCTTGTTGTGATTGTGATGATACAGATGAGAGAGCTTTTCCTTTTCTACTTTCTGTTTCTGTGAGAATTAGATTTATGAATCAGTTTCTGCAGAGACGTGCAGGTACTGCCCCCTGGTGGCGAGCAGAGGACTGAAGTCTGCTCACATTTTACTCACATATTTAGTAGGTTTTAAAGTTGTTATTGTTTTGAATATTGGAGACGAGCTGCATCTGTGCTACTCAAATACTCGAGTCTGATGAGTAACAATGCCACCATTTGTTCTGATTGTCTCGTTTTTTTGGTACAGAGAAACTTAAACACTCCAATAAAACACTGCATTTGTGTGCTTACCTTTTAATATGTATATGTTGTGAGTTGTAGTGCCGAGAGATAGGAGTCGGAGGCGGTGCATCGAAGGTGCAAATGGGTACTTTAATGAGCGACAGAAATAGACGTGTTGTCGGCCCAGGAAGAGAAGAGAAAGCGAAAGGGAGGACACACAGGTTGCGGTCGAATACTCCAAAGAATCAGCTCCTAAGTTCTAACCCTATCGTCTATTCCTTGACCTCGGAGTGAAAGGTCACGGGGTTAAGGGATAGTGGATAGAAGAATTCAAAAGGACTTAGGAGAAGAGACTACGGCTGCGTTTCACTTCGGTTAAATGGATTCCTTGCGTCCCTCACTTGCGTCGTTTCCCTGCGACTAGTCCCTCCCACCAGGGAAGCATGGAGAGACGCAAGGAAACCACGAGAAGCAGGGAAATGAGTTTTAAGAGCAATGGGACGTCCTTTCCTCCGGAGGGTCACGTGAAGCGACGTCCGTTTGTGATGACGCTGCACAGCTGATCGTCTGACAGCAGCCAGCTCTGTCCCCGTTGTTTGCACAAACACCCCCGCCTCTGTTAGTACACATTTACTGACACAAACATTTGTATCATCTGTTGTAGACCCAAATACATTAAATAAGAACTCATTCTCAAAAAAGATAAACGCCATTCTTAAAATGTATAAACGAACAATAGTTAGATTAATATTGATTAGAGTGCACAATAGAAATAAAATAATTGAGAGAAGAAAGAGAGATATGTTATCTATCAAAACCCAGTTAGATTAACATTCATTGGATTGCACACTTTGTCTGTTTGTGTGGATATGTAGCACATTAACATGTTAAATAGCACTTAATGACTGACTGAATGGAAATGACAATAAATGAAAATGTAAAACGAAAAAAGCGATCATGAAAATGTTTCCAATAAATGAATAAAATGATCTTTGTCCACTTTGTTGTTCAGATATATCACATATTTGTAACTGAATGATGCATTCATTGAAACAGAACACGGTATGAACTGAGGAGTGAGTCCCGTGAGTTTCATGTGTTTTCTTCACTCCGCTGGGAAACTGCTCTCATGTCAAGAAGCATCAGATCATTGCATGCGCTGCATCGTCCAATCAGTGAGCGATACACAGTAAGGGGGCGGGGCGAGTCTGAGGATTTCATCGAAGGATGGTCTGGTGGTTCCTCGATTATAGCTCCTCCATTATCGCTCCTCGCTCCTCAGTCCTCGGTCCTCGGGCAAAAATAAGGCCATTGGGACGCTACTCAAGATGGCGCAGACAAATCAACTTCCGGTGAGACCGAGACCGAGGAGCGAGGAAATGAAAAATAAGAGAAGTGAAACGCAGCCTACGGTACGTTAGAGAATCGACTGCACTTTCACTATCCGACGTGTTTATGATGCGCCAGCGGACGTCATAAATGTGCGTCTGCTGCTGTGGGGAAACTATGGAAACTACAGTTTTCTATACAGCGGACTACAACATGGATGTTTAATAAGAACGAGGGACTACTGTAAACTCATAGTACCCCTTTCACACCAACGGTGTTTCAGGGCCGGTTCGGTGCTGGTGCTTGAAAAGCACCGGGTTTTCCTGTTCACACCGCAGCGGAGCAGCGTCATAGCTCCGGAATCCGGTTCGTTTCGAGCACCAAAAAGTTGTCCGTCTAGAAGCAAGAACCGCATACGTCACGCTTACGTCGGAGGGGGGCGAGATTAACCTGAGCTAACACTTAAGGCGAGTACGGCAAATAAAAGTTGTAACAAGCAGTAGTGCTGAGCAAAGTGACTAGAACGCAACCACACACTTGTTAAAAAAACACACTTTATAAAGTCAGGCAACACTAACCAGGCTTCGTGTGATTCTGTTTATTTGTACCTTACTTTGACCATCCGTTCACTGTTATTGATCATTGTGGAGAGCAGGCAGACGTTTTGTTTGTTATTATAGCAGCTATCGGATGGAATCAATACATGGGCTGCACAGGTTGTCATGTCCGACTATCACAAGTAGAATCATAATGAAAAATACGTCGGTAAAAAGTGCCTGTAGAAAACTGCTTAGCAAGTAGTCAGTTTAGCTTCGGTTGCTATGCTAACATCACCCATGTTATACCAGAGAAACTTTCATAACAGCGTTGTGATGCCAAACAGCGTCAATTCAGACTGACACCAAACAGCGTCAATTCAGACTGACACACATTCACTTAAGGGGGAACTGGGGATATGTATCAGCTGCTTGTGTGACAGTCAGACAGTGAATACTTTAGAGCCGTGTGAGCTAACCCAGAGCTAACGGGAGAATACACTCCCGTTGAAGAGCAGCCGGCCAGCACTGCAGCGGTCGGTAAATGCCGCTGAAACACATTAATAAACAATGAACCACGGCACTCTGGAGAAAAGTATAAGGTTGGAGAAGTCGTTATTTAATTTAATCTGGCTTCGTATGATTAAAAGCAACGCAGTCCCCGGCCCGTTGTTGTTGTGAGGTGAGCTCCGGCGTTGGGGAGAAACTCAGCGACGTAAACTGTGACGTCATGACGCAGCAGCGGCAGCACCAGTCGGGCTCTGAGCGGTGTGAAAAGAGCCGGCGCTAAACCGAAGAACCGGTTCTGAACCAGAAAAGCTCTAGCACGGAGCTTGAACCGGAGTTGCGTTGGTGTGAAAGGGGCACTAGAGACTCTGCACCGTGCTCTGATGCTGTTGTTTTATGCTTTATGAACGGGGACAACAGAGAAACATATTCTTCATGACCAAAGCTGGAATTGAAATAAAAAAGGAAAGTGAAACTTATGCTCGTCACCCTCTCCCTCCGGTCCACATTAATACAAATGATCCCAATACGTATGATTGTATGAAAAGATCTTAAAATCAATACAAATGTATTTATTATAAACGTTAGTCCTTAACATCTATCACTGTGTATATCACCATTCAAACATCTTTTAAAAGTTGAACAAACCCCACACAGCTCAGTAAAGACTGTGAAATGTTGACTTTATTTGATCATTTCAGTAAAAACTAACGTTCATATTTCTCTTTTTGATTATAATACTGATGAACGTTCAAAACAAAGCACTTTGGCAACTTACCACATACGTTTTAAAATGCTTAATAAGCACCGTAACTTTCATGATATCATTTCTCCGTCATAATCGGTTGTTTCTGTGAACGGCCGACTGTTGTGTGACGGCAAATGCCGCGGCCGCAAGGCATTGTGGGGCAGCATTTTCTCCTCTCCTTTAGGTGAGGGAGGTCCAGTGGTTCCTAAGCTAAAGGAGGTTATAAAGGAAGTTTGAAACCTCCTTTCCTTTCATTTATGGGGCATTTCCACCATGGCGCGGAGCGCGGTTTAAGCGTGCCGTGTCGTGCCGGGCCCGTTTTTGGTTGCGCTTCCACTAGGCCTAGTTCCGGCCCGGGGGTGCTTTTTCACCTCTTTTCTGGCCCGACAAAATCGTGGTTCTATCGGGGCCAACAAACAGGGCTGAGTCGGGCTGAGTATGCTAAACTAGAGAGAGAATCGCTGGCAAGGAGGCTACAACTACAACAAGATGAACATATTTGACCGTGATTTAATTGTAACACACGTTTCAAAATGATGCCGAAGTAACAACATACTGATACCGGTTAGTAAAAACCATGAATTAATGCTTTGGCAAGTCTGCAGACAGACGGCAGGCGAAAAACCTTTTAAAATGCGTGTTTTCTAGATGGAGATTGGCTAAGCTAACGCAGTATATGCTCCGGCACTTATCATGGCTGCCACTGAGGGACTTCCGGGTCATTTCACTCCGTTAGGAAGGTTCCTAAGCTAAATGGACTATTCGACCGCAACCACAGTAGGTACACAGTAGGTACCGTCAACATATGTGTCCGTGCGGAAACAATACCCCCAACCTGTAGTTCCATGAGTGAATTATGTAACCTAGTTAATTAGTGATCACTACAGAGTTTATAAATACCAAAATATTTTGACATACAGACATTTTCTGATGTTTTCTGTTTTTTTGTATACATGAACAAACATAAAGTTAAATAATAGTCAGGGTATTTTCTCCACCGGGTAACAGGGGCGCTGCGCCCTCAAACCAAAATGCAGATTTTCCCCGTGTTAAAGTGATGCCAGAAAACAATATCTCTGTTCCTCGAAAACGGTATAATTCCTCCAGAAATCTGAGAATCAAACAGAGCGTCAGACGGGAGAGACAGCTTTGTTTTTACGCAGCTCCGACGTCACGTTGTTGTTTACGTCACGTTGTTGTTTACGTCACGTTGTTGTTTACGTCACGTTGTGGTTTACGTCAGCAGACATCTTGTATACGGGCGTCCTGTTCTCGTTGATATATTTTATAAACAAGATCAGAGAGTACTCATACTAGGGCTGTGCAATTAATCGTATTTTAATCTCGATTACGATTTTGGCTTGCAACGATTACGAAAACAACGTAATCGAAATAAAACGATTATTATTTTTATAAAAAAAAAAAAAATGTAATTATTATTATTATTATTATTTTTATTTTTTGGTTTTTCAGTTGAATTATACTTAAAGTTCAGGGTAATCAACTGTTAAAAACATACTGTTCACATTTTTGTTTCAATAAATGGATGTTTTCAAAGTAAATGGATAATCGTTTTTAATAATCGTGATATCAATTATTGACCAAAATAATCGTGATTAGGATTTTTGCCATAATCGCACAGCCCTAACTCACACTATACCTACTAGAAACACACCCGATTATCACTGGCCATACCCTTTCCAAAGATCTCCAGATGCTCTTCTCAAGTTAATGAAGTGTCCAACCCATGGGCGTCGCAGCCATTATATGAGGGTGGGACAAGTCCCCCCCACTTTTTCGAATGGTTAGTTTAGACCCCCCCCACTTTTACTATGCGGAAAGTCCGTGAATCGGTCTATCCACTCGCCGCTCTTTGCAGAGCGCTGCAGTGCTTCACTATCAAATGAAATCCATTCCACTTGCTTATTGAGAGAATGCCCAAATCAATGAAACTCCGTTCCATGTTTTCACTGCTACTTTGTTCCAAGGCAGATTCTCACATAGCGCGCGCATGTTCAAGGAGTGTTGTCATAGTTGGACAGCTCAGATCTGTTGTATGAAGCGATGCCGGTAGCGGAGGTAAGGCACACACACCAAATGTTCAGGAAATGGTTAATACAGCGAAAATCAAAGCTGACGATCTCTTGGTTTGATATGTTTTCTCCCCCAGACAACATGGACATAAGAACATTTTTTTCAAAGAAGAGGAAGTAAGTCATCAGCTGGTAGCAGTTAATCAGTTAACAGTGATGGCGGCGTCTCACTTCTGGAGAGGAGTTTCGTCTTTATGTCATGATAGAGAGAGATACAAATACTGAATAGTTTAGATGAGAAAAGGCATCAAAATGCCAGGTTACTAGTATTTATCAGTATTTATTATCACTTCACCACCTCTCTTGACATCTAGGCACTTGAGAGTGAGTCAGAGGCAGAATGCAGGGACAGTGGAGAGAGGTCCATTGCTGAGGTGAGTGATGAAAGGGAAATGACAGTTGAGAGTAAATTGTGATGTGGACTCTCATCCCAGGATTTTAAGGAAATCAGTGGGGATATTGAACAGGAAACATTTCAGTCAAGGGGCATCATATGACCAATATAGACAGAAGAGCAACATTTATTTGAACATTTAAGTCAATGATACCATTCCTTGGTGAACTTAACATCCGTATGGAGTCAGATCAGTCTCAATATTAATAAATGCTCACAGAAGGATTCACAAATGTATTTTGCGATTTATATATAAATGACTCTTCACAACAATATCTCTCAATGCACTCACAAATATTTATTGTTGTATATAAATGTACAAAAAATGGGCATTTAAACTGCTTTTTATTAATTCAAAGACAGCTCTGAATTAATAATCAAATATGTTTCTTTCTTTACTACTGAAATTACAAAATGTACCCATCATTTTCCTCATGCTAGTATAGCCACATAAAAGTATCAAACCACCTGTTAAAATGCACCAGAATACAGGAAATCTATATTTTTTTTCGCCCCCACACCCCCGTTAAAAATGTCCCCCTCACATTCAGGATGCTTCCTACGCCCATGGTCCAACCCATGCTCAAAGTAACACGTGAACAAAGTGGCTTCTTTGTGATGGAAAAACGTTACGTTACAAATCTGGTTAGAAAGGTGTAAAAGCGTCTTCCCTCTCTCAGTCAGAGAGACATCAGGATATAACACATCAGAATCAAAGTTGTATTCACAGTCAGGAAATATATTATATTTGGATTTCAATAAGCTTTAACAAAACACCAAAACTACATCGTCTACAAAAAGCCTTCAGCATCGACAGGAAACAATTGTTCGAGTAATTGAATCTGTATTTCACTAAAAGATTATTTATTTTAAATCAAATGAAAGTGAACATCTTCAGTTTGTGTTTGTTTCTTCTCTCTCAGTGTCCGTGTTGCTGCAGCTCGACGCCCGCTCACCCTCCGCTGCAAACTTCACCTTCCTGCTTGACCTCTGCACACACACACACACACACACACACACACACACACACACACACACACACACACACACACACACACACACACACATTTATTTGATTAATACAGCACTTGCAAATGACTTTTACATACGTTAGTGTTTAATACCTCTTCACTCATGCTTGCAATAACCTTCTTATTTTTGTTGGCGACCAAAAATAAATTGACAAAAATCTTTACCAAAAGAAAGTTGACTAAAGAAAAAGTTGATTCCCAAAAAAAAGAAATACAATTAATGTTAGCGACCAAAAGAAGAAAATAAACAAAAGAAAGTTGCGTTGTTTTTATTTTGGGGGGATTATAAAGCAACTGTCTCTGTCTCAGAGTGAGTCATCTCATAACTAAGTGTTTGTCAGTATATCTGAAATGACTAGGTTAGCTACGTTAGCTAGCTAGCTTACAGAAGATCTGCAGTAACATCAGAAGGAACCATGTGATCACATTGTTAAAATAAGACCATAAAACATTTTAGGTAAGTTTCCAACAACAGAGACAGTTGTCCAGACGGTGTGTTTCTGCTCTTCAGTGTCCCCTCAGTGTTTTGTATTCTCAGGTCATAGAAAAAAAAAGTTGACCAAAAGAAAGTTGACTGAAATAAATTTGACCAGAAAAAAAAGTTGATAAAAAAATTGACAAAAAAAAAGGTTGACTGAAATAAAGCAACAGAGACAGTTTTATATTCTCACGTGTTTCTCTCCGAGTCCTCGGGGGTATCGTGAGATGTCGTCACGGCGACGCTCCGCCCTCTCCCAATCGTCCAACCACAGCGGGCGGCGATGCTCCGACTGCCGGCTCGTGATTCGCTGATAGATGGCCTGATTCTGACGGCCAATCAGAAGAAGCTCCTCCCTCCTCCTGTCAGCATTCAGACTGAAGAGGAAAAATAAACAAACACACGCAGAAAAAATAAATAAAATCTTATTCTCAAACAATCTCGACTATACTCAACAATTTGTTTCTATTTCTTTTGTCTAAACTTGACTTTTTTATCTAAATAAATCTCTAGTTACTTAATTGATTAATTGTTTCTCAGAATAGTTGTCAATTACTTTTCTGTTGATTGACAATCGAGCTTAGGAATCGGACATTTCGGAGTTGGAGACCAAAAACAGCTAAAATGATGTAAGATCATTGGATTTATTATATATATTCATGATGCTTTGTGACTGCCTGATTTAATACGTTCAAGAGATCACTTTATAAAGTGAGGATGGTAAACCACTTCATCTAATAGCTAATTAGGAGTGATTATATTGCTGTCACTGTTGTTCTCCATTTAAAGTGGACCTATCATGCTATATTATAATAATATAGTGTAGGACCATACCTATATAAGGCATATTTATACTTTTTTTTTTTCAAAATACCAAACAGATCATGCATTTTAGCCATGCCTCATTTCGCTCAATTTGACATTTCTAGCTCTGTTTTAGCAAGGGTTGATTCAGTGAGAACAGCACCATCTACAGGCCTGGCATATGTACTACAGCGCCTCCAGCGCTTTCTAACAGCAATGGCCGTGGCTGTCTCCTCCTGATTGGTGGAGTTGGCCCAATAGCCGTAGCGCCACCGTCCTGACGTCAGGACAGTGTTCAAATCTGGATCAGTTTTTATCAGATCCGTTGCAGCCCCTTTTTTAGAGATTTGGGTATGGAGGAAAATAGAGAGGGTTGTGTTTTCTGACACTTGGTGAGTTCCCTGGAACACCGGGGACACATATTCATGTAGAAAAGACGTACACAAGTGCATTTTGCATGATAGGTCCCCTTTAAAGCAACTTCCTGTCTCCCAGAATAACTTATTTTCGGAGACGCTTTAAAGCTCCTGTCAGGATTAAAGATTTTACCGCCCCAGGACGAGAGGCGTTCCCCGCCATCACACGTCCAGATCAATAATTGAGCAGTGTAACAGAGCAGCTCACATCCATTATTTAAAGTCCAACACGGCGCTGGCTTCTTCAGAGGAGAGATAAAGAGTGAGAGGAAAACCCACTAACGGAACAAAAAGTCAGCTCAGTTGAATATAAATAAGGAGTTCCTGATGGCTTCCATCAGGAGAAACGTGCTGCAGCTTCAGAAAGGATGCAGATATAAAAACCCAAATGTTCCACATCTTCAGCAACTTGACCACCCAGCATTTAGAGAACATTCAGCAACTTGAGGAGACATGCACTGCGATATAACTGCAGATCTGCTGTAAGCTATAGCTAACGTAGCTAACCAGGTATCAGAAGGAGTCATGTGATCACATTGTTAAAATAAGCCCATAAAACATTTCAGGTAAGTTTCCATCAACAGAGACGGTTGTTTCTCCTGATGGAAGAGGTTTGGGCCGCTGAAGCACGTCTCTGTCGGCCACCGTTTATACCATATCCAAAGACATGGTACGAAAAAACTAAATATAGCTATAACTATATGTGGCCATACCATGCCATGAGTTTGTTGATCTCACCTCCTCAGGTGGTACTGGTTCTGATGGTCCACCAGACCTTTGGAGCAGACGATATCGGCCAGTTTGGACGCCAGCAGCCGGTTATCTCTGTCGACGACGGACAGACGCTCGTCCTGCAGCTGAACCACACCGGAGACAAAACTGAGAGTAAACCCCTCGAATAGAAATGGTGCAGGGATGTTGTATTTCTCTGTTGGACACTGAAGGCAGCATCTCCCTGGTCCAATGGGATTTCTCCATGAGATTATGTCAGATAATAATCTCTGTGTCAAACAAACGTTTATGATCGTTACACGTTTAGTTCAGCAGGATAATCTCCACATGTTAACACCACTTTATGATTTCTGAAGTTAAAAGCTGATGTTGGGCTATAAAGGAACTACAGCACGGTCACATGACTTCACGTCACCACCGCTAAGCTAAAGGTGGCTAATGTTGGGCTATAAAGGAACTACAGCACGGTCACATGACTTCACGTCACCACCGCTAAGCTAAAGGTGGCTAATGTTGGGCTATAAAGGAACTACAGCACGGTCACATGACTTCACGTCACCACCGCTAAGCTAAAGGGGGCTAATGTTGGGCTATAAAGGAACTACAGCACGGTCACATGACTTCACGTCACCACCGCTAAGCTAAAGGAGGCTAATGTTGGGCTATAAAGGAACTACAAGCACGGTCACATGACTTCACGTCACCACCGCTAAGCTAAAGGGGGCTAATGTTGGGCTATAAAGGAACTACAGCACGGTCACATGACTTCACGTCACCACCGCTAAGCTAAGGCGGCTAATGTTGGGCTATAAAGGAACTACAGCACGGTCACATGACTTCACGTCACCACCGCTAAGCTAAAGGTGGCTAATGTTGGGCTATAAAGGAACTACAGCACGGTCACATGACTTCACGTCTCCACCGCTAAGCTAAAGGCGGCTAATGTTGGGCTATAAAGGAACTACAGCATGGTGAATGATTGCAATCGAACACACCGTCCAGTTTGTGTGTGTGTGTGTGTGTGTGTGTGTGTGTGTGTGCGTGTGTGTGTGTGTGTGTGTGTGTGTGTGTGTGTGTGTGTACCTGTAGTTTCTTCAGTTTCAGCTGGATGTGAGCAGGTGTCTTCACCCCCTTGTTGTCCACTACTGGCAGGGAGGAGTTCACCTGCACAGGTAAACACAGATGAGCTTTGTGATGTGGTTTGAGTTACCAAACTACAGCGACTCAAACCTTAAACTAAATCTCTGCATAGGATCATCATTCTAGATTTTAAATAACTTATCTTCCAGTCCTTCACAAACCAGTCCTTCACAACCCAGTCCTTCACCTGCCAGTCCTTCACAACCCAGTCCTTCACCTGCCAGTCCTTCACAACCCAGTCCTTCACCTGCCAGTCCTTCACAAACTAGTCCTTCAACACCCAATCCTTCACCTTCCAGTCCTTCACAAACCAGTCCTTCACAACCCAGTCCTTCACAACCCAGTCCTTCACAAACTAGTCCTTCAACACCCAATCCTTCACCTTCCACTCTCCATAAGCAAATTCTCAACCTCCAAGTCCTACACTATCCAGTCTTTCCTCTTCCTCAAAGTATTTTACCTCCCAGTCCTCCACCTCCCAGTCCTCCACCTCCCAGTCCTCCACCTTCCAGTCCTCCACCTCCCAGTCCTCCACCTCCCAGTCCTCCAGCTTCCAGTCCTCCAGCTTCCAGTCCTCCAGCTTCCAGTCCTCCACATCCCGGTCCTCCACCTCCCAGTCCTCCACCTCCTACCTTCTTGCGGTGGTTCTGGTAGTGGTTCTGGTCCCATCTCTGCTGCAGGTACCGGTTGGTGACGGGATTCAGCGGCTGGTAGGACCTGTGCATGCTGCAGCTCTGTGGACGAACTAAAGTGTGTGTGTGTGTGTCTGTGTGTGTATGTGTGTGTGTGTGTGTGTGTTTGGAAGTTGTCCCCATGGAGATGTACCCCTCTGCATCTCATTACAGCCATATAATGTTACTATTAATTATTACTGAGCTGAGGAGGTCTGCACACACACACACACACACACACGCACACACACACACACGCACACACACACATACATACACACACACACACACACACACACACACACACACACACACACACACGCACGCACACACACACACACACACACACACACACACACACACACACACACACACACACACACACCATGAACAGATCAAGAAAGAAAATCAAATTGATTGTGTTCAGGCTTAAAATAAGAAGGTTCGTTATATTTTATTTGTAGTTTTGTTTTATGTCACCCCCTTCTCTCTCTCTCCCATTGCTTTACACTGTCGTCTGTTAAATACAAGCGAAAGATTAGAAATGATCGTCTTCCCAAAGTTTTTCGGCAATGCTGATCTGATGAACGCACCTGTAGTGGACGTCTCACCTGAAAGGTTCATCCTGTGTGTCTTTGGCTTCTCATCGTCTTGTTTATTTGTTACAGAGCCTCTCTGAATATGAACCGGTCAGAAATGACGAGAATATAAAACACACTCATTTCAATTCTCCATGTTTCTCCTCTGAATGAAGATGGAAGAGGACGCCGGAGGCAGATTACAAACAGCGAGGACACCATGTCTTTGATTTCATCCGGGTGTGTGAGTGTGTGTGTGTGTGTGTGTGTGTGTGTGTGTGTGTGTGTGTGTGTGTGTGTGTGTGTGTGTGTGTGTGTGTGTGTGTGTGTGTGTGTGTGTGTGTGTGTGTGTGTGTGTGTTTGCAGGATTAATTGAGCATGTTTTGGGTGTGTGTTTCTCCTTTTGCTGTGATGAAACGCCGTGGGGAATCCATTTAATTTGAAGTCTGATTATCATGATGAGAGACCAATCAGGGAGAGTGATGGTGTGTGTGTGTGCGTGTGTGCGTGTGTGTGTGCGTGTCTGTTTGGGTGTGTGTTTGTGTGTGTGTGTGTGTGTGTGTGTCTGTGTCTGTGTCTGTGTGAGAGTGTGTGTGTGTGTGTGTGATTGTTTGGGTGTGTGTGTGTGTGTTTGTGTGTGTGTGTGTGTGTGTGTGTGAGAGTGTGTGTGTGTGTGATTGTTTGGGTGTGTGTGTGTGTGTGTGTGTGTGTGTGTGTGTGTGTGTGTGTGTGTGGGTGACGCCTCAGTAGAAATGAAGAGTTTGTTTAATGTGGGAAAAGGAGGATTGTTCAAACACTGCGTCTTCGTGCAGCGGGGGGAAGCTTACAGTGACCGATTCCATGAAGCTCCTTAATTTAACAAAATGTCCTTAAAGCTGGGTAGCACTGGAGAAGCTTTTTAATTCATCCAACAGAAAACCCCAGCCTTGTGTTGCAAACTCTTTTCAGATAACAGGAGCTATCAGCTAAATCCAGCAGGAAGTTGGCACGTTGACACTGACAGCCAGTCCCCTCCGTTAAAAGACCCTCCCCAAAATGATCCTTATCAACGTAAACATAACATGTGGTGTGAATCCAGTCCATCTGAGTGACTCCCGTCCACAGATCCAGGTCCAGGCTGGGACTCCGCTCCAGTGTCTCCCTGGATCCACTGCTCCGGGTTTTCGGTTGCATTGTACTAACAGCCATTTATCCCTGTGTGCTGTGTGTCTGTTGCTGTCTGTAGTGTGTCTGTAAACGGCTGTAAACCCTGGGAATATCACCTCCTCTCATGGAATACCTGGGATCCGTGAATCTCCCCTCGCGACCGGCCAACTGACGTCCCAAAGTGTGTGTTTCTCCCCGGGATGTGAGCGCCTGAACCCGGGAGCACGTTGACGGTTATCCGCCAGTTTGGGAGCTAATCATAACCGTTCTTTTTTAAACTGGGATTACTGGGACATTTATACATGAACGGTGGTCGGATACGGATTTCAAACGGGGTAAGTGTCTCTGTTACATCTTGGAAGTTGTGGTGGAGTCCACTTTTTATATTTTAAACGCGGGATACTTAGCTATCCTTGGGGTTAGCTTAGCTTAGCATAGCTTAGCTTAGCTGCCTTTGTCTGCAGAGACCGGAGAGCTAAGGAGCATGAGTCCATTATCGGACACGTCCCCGTCTGACCTGCTTCTAATACATGAATGAGATAAGATGAGCATGGGTGGGAGAAGTACTCGCATCTTGTGGTAAAAGTAGAAGTACTCAGATGTACTTGAGTAAAAGTAGAAGTACCAGAGTGTAGGAATACTCTGTTTCAGTAAAAGTCCTGCATTCAAAATGTTCCTCAAGTAAAAGTAGAAAGGTATTCTCATCAAAATATAGTTAAAGTAGCGACAGTAAAAGTAGTCATTGTGCAGATTGGTCCATTTCAGAATAATATATATGATATGTTTTATAATGATTGATCATGAAAGTGTTCTCAAAGCTGGTAAAGGTGCAGCTAGTTTGAATGACTTTGTATACTGCAGGGTAGCTTGTGGATTTACTCCAGGTGGAACTAAAGTCTGATTTAACACTTGATTATATTTCACATCATTCATCCACATCTGTGAAGTAACTAAAGGTATTAATACATGTAGTGGAGTACAAGTACACACTATGAAAGGCCAGAACACACTTCAAATCAAACTTTATTTATAGAGCACTTTCCATACACAAAGGTAACTTTCACAAACTAAACAGACAAAATAAAAACAATACTATCTCCCAGGTAAATAACCACAGTAACACATTCATATATTCATGAAACAGCTTTAACAACTTAAACAAAATGCATCTCTAAAAAGTGGACTGACTCTAAGTCACAAAAGAGTGTCATATTTAAATACTTTATTGTGTTTGTCTGCATCAGTTAAATGCTACCTGATGCAACCATTCTATGTGGACATGTCACATGTTTACATATAATTAAATATACCCACATAAAGAAACATTTTCTATTACTTGTTATACTTTATGTACATTGTGTTGATAATACTTTTGCACTTTTACTTAAGTAGCTTTTATGACATGATCATTTAACTTAATATACACCCTCCACTTGCTCCTGTTGTGTAATATCCCTGTAGTTTTGCTGTAAAATAAAAATAAATGCCAGCTGGCAGAGGTGGAAATATAAACACTTGTCCGATAATGGATCTATACGTTTGACAGGGAGGCTGAAAGCGCCGCATCGGTAGACGTCCGTCACACGACAAATAGGACAAGTAATCAACAGTTATATAAACCAAATGTGCGATATTAGATATTGGCTCTTATATGTGACATATCGCCTGTAATGTCAGCTTTGTTGTGCGGGTGTAAATATTGTAAAACGGCTAAAGATCTCACCATGAAACCCTAAAGCAGCTCTGCGTCCGATAATGGATCTCGTTAGCATTATAGCGGGCCACAGTGGGCCCTGCTTATAACTGCATACTTTCCCTCAAATACCTTCATATAATTCGATGTGGCACTCTTTAGTGGGTGTTATTGTGTGTATTTAACACTCATATTATCAAGCTAACGCATCTGTGAGACGTTATTGGTGTGTGTGTGTTAGCTCTGATGCTAAAGGGCAGTGAGATCAAGGGCCGACTAGCTTTTTCCAGATATCCGGCTAACGGGAGCTAGGTTAGCTAGCTCCGTGGGAATGGTGTGTTTCCTAAATGTTCCTGATTCTTTACGTGTGAAATCAACCAATGTAACACCCTATAGGTTATAAGCATTTTAATCTTTGTCTTTGTCTATCGTCTCCTCGACAAAAACAGGCAAACCAACCAATAATATGTAACGTGGCTAACGCAGATGCTGGCTAACTATGATATACATAAATATCCCCTGATCTGATTATTCAATTAGATAAACTGTATTGATCCCAATTTGGGAATTATATTCGTAACAGCAGCATGTAGATAAGGCATTGTACATACAAAATAAACAACAGTAAGATATATAAATATAAGATGTGAAAACAGTGATACACATAATCAATAATGGATGATATATATCTATAGAATATGAATAAACAACGTTACTCAGCAAACACACCTGCTGGAACACACCTGAGAGTGTGTGTGACCTCAGGGTTTCCATATTATCTATTTCTGAGACTTTCTGTTGTTTTGTCTGGTCTCTTCTGCAGGATAGGGTTAGAGCTCCATCCTTGTGTTTTGGTTGTGTTTTGCCGGTGAGATACATGAAGACTTGAAGAGATCAGATGCTGCTTCCTGAATGAGATCACACACTTCCTGTGATGCTGACACTCAATTCATTTGATTACACTTTTTATTGGGATAAATAACAGCCAGTGAAGGAGGGAGACACCTGTCATGTATTGAAATAATTAGTTGTTTGATTACTACAGGGGAGACCCTGAAGGCAACATCTCCCTGGTCCAATGGGATCCCTCCATGTGATTTAGAATTATTGCAGAAAATAATCTCTGTGTCAAACAAACGTTTATGATACACATGACTTCACGTCACCACCGCTAAGCTAAAGGTGGCTAATGTTGGGCTATATAGGAACTACAGCACGGTCACTAGGGATGGGTATCGTTTGAAATATATCGATTCCGGTTCTTATCGATTTTCCGTTTCGATTCCAAAATTGTAAAAGAAAGAGGTCAAACGTTTAGATAACAAACATATCTTTATTCTCTAAAGCTTTAACTGACATTTTTACAAATAAAAAATATACATGCAATACAGATGTATTGCACAATAGCTGTGCTTTATGTTAACTGAGCTATGCCTGTGGCAAGCTATCAACAGGCATTACTCTGTGCCTTGTCTTTTTCTGTTTTAGTGTAGTGGAGCCTCACTTTAGAGCGTTTACCGCCATCCATCTTTGGTGTTATGAAGTGACTGAGCTCGTGAACTGTCTACGGGAGGGCGGGGGGAGCCTCGCTGCGGGGCCACTGTGGACCTCTGTCGCCTGTCAGCGCAACTTACATGATGCCGTTTAAAAAAATTAAGGGCGGTGCCGGTCGTCAGCGAACCGAGCCGGCCGTCAACGGCCCGCTGACGACCGGCCGTTCTGTGATTCTCCAGAACACACAGATGGCCAGTCCGCCCTTACCCTGTATTAACGGTTCCTAAACGCGGTAGACCCTGTATTCCACCGGGTCCGTCTGCGCCGCGGTGACCCGGTGGAATACAGGGTCTACCGCGTTTAGGAACCGTTAAGCAGAACCAAAATTGTGTATTTTGTATGGGTACCCGGTACCCGGCATTTTGTTATCGGTTCTCATCTGGAACCGAGTTTCGGTTCCCAACCCTAACGGTCACATGACTTCACGTCACCACCGCTAAGCTAAAGGTGGCTAATGTTGAGCTATAAAGGAACTACAGCACGGTCACATGACTTCACGTCTCCACCGCTAAGCTAAAGGTGGCTAATGTTGGGCTATAAAGGAACTACAGCACGGTCACATGACTTCACGTCACCACCGCTAAGCTAAAGGTGGCTAATGTTGAGCTATAAATGAACTAACAGTCACATTTGTGTGTGAGGTGGTACATAGACACTAGGGCCTACTGTTGGGACCCATGCCATTTGTTAGCACTTTATGTTGGTGATGAAAGCCTGTCAATAGAAATGCAGATATCCAGTCTAGTATTAACATCCAAAGGGTCGGTTATATCTTCCATCTTACCTGAGCAGATGTGAAAGCCATAAACAAAGTAAGCTGTACTACGTTCACACACCTTTGTACCTCTGCTTCAATTTCAAAGTGTTTCTATTTTTAGACGCTGTGTTGAGGCCTCTGTTTGACCAGCCGTTAAACATTAAGGAGGAGATAAAACAGAAACACCATCTCCGTCTTCCACGTGTGCTCTGATGATAATTACATTATTATGCTATTATGTCACTCTTTAGTGTCCCCTGGTCTCCCAGCTGTGTGCGTCACTCTTTAGTGTCCCCTGGTCTCCAGCTGTGTGCGTCACTCTTTGGTGTCCCCTGGTCTCCAGCTGTGTGCGTCACTCTTTGGTGTCCCCTGGTCTCCAGCTGTGTGCGTCACTCTTTAGTGTCCCCTGGTCTCCAGCTGTGTGCGTCACTCTTTGGTGTCCCCTGGTCTCCAGCTGTGTGCGTCACTCTTTGGTGTCCCCTGGTCTCCCAGCTGTGTGCGTCACTCTTTAGTGTCCCCTGGTCTCCAGATGTGTGCGTCACTCTTTAGTGTCCCCTTGTCTCCCAGCTGTGTGTCACTCTTTAGTGTCCCCTGGTCTCCCAGCTTTGTGCGTCACTCTTTAGTGTCCCCTGGTCTCCCAGCTGTGTGCGTCACTCTTTAGTGTCCCCTGGTCTCCAGCTGTGTGCGTCACTCTTTGGTGTCCCCTGGTCTCCAGCTGTGTGCGTCACTCTTTGGTGTCCCCTGGTCTCCCAGCTGTGTGCGTCACTCTTTGGTGTCCCCTGGTCTCCAGCTGTGTGCGTCACTCTTTGGTGTCCCCTGGTCTCCCAGCTGTGTGCGTCACTCTTTAGTGTCCCCTGGTCTCCCAGCTGTGTGTCACTCTTTAGTGTCCCCTGGTCTCCCAGCTGTGTGCGTCACTCTTTAGTGTCCCCTGGTCTCCCAGCTGTGTGCGTCACTCTTTAGTGTCCCCTGGTCTCCCAGCTGTGTGCGTCACTCTTTGGTGTCCCCTGGTCTCCCAGCTGTGTGCGTCACTCTTTGGTGTCCCCTGGTCTCCCAGCTGTGTGCGTCACTCTTTGGTGTCCCCTGGTCTCCAGATGTGTGCGTCACTCTTTGGTGTCCCCTTGTCTCCCAGCTGTGTGCGTCACTCTTTGGTGTCCCCTGGTCTCCCAGCTGTGTGCGTCACTCTTTAGTGTCCCCTGGTCTCCAGATGTGTGCGTCACTCTTTAGTGTCCCCTGGTCTCCAGATGTGTGCGTCACTCTTTAGTGTCCCCTTGTCTCCCAGCTGTGTGCGTCACTCTTTAGTGTCCCCTGGTCTCCCAGCTTTGTGCGTCACT